TGTAGATTACTTTGGTATAGCCATTTTCACAATACTGACTCTGCCCATCCATGAGCATGGGAAATATTTCCATCTTCTGTAGTCTTCTTTGATTTCTTTCTTCATTGGTTTACAGTTTTCATTTTAGAGGTCTTTCACTTATTTTCTTTAGTTTATTTCCAGGTATTTTTTGAGGATATTGTAAGTGGAAAATTTTTCCTGTATTCTTTCTCAGTTGGTTCACTTTTGGTATATGGAAAGGTTACTGATAATTGATTTTTTACCCTACTACTTTGCTGAAGGTGTTTATGATGTTTAGGAGTTTTTTGGTGGCGTTTTCTGGGTCTTTTAAGGTATAACATCATGCCGTCTACAAATAGAGGTAGTTTGAATTCTTCCTTTCCTATTTGCATTCCTTTATTTCTTCTTCCTGTCTTATTGCTCTAGCTAGGAATTCCAAGACTATTTTGAATAAGTGTGAGAGAGAGAAGAGGCATATTTGACTATAGATAGAAAAAGAAAGGGGCAATTTGACCATGGAAGCAGGGACTGGAGTAATGCAAACACAAGCCAAGGAATGCCAGTAGGTACAAGAAAATGCAAGAAGCAGGTGAATAGACTCTTGACTAGAGCCTACAGGCTCTAGATGGAGTGTGGCCCTGAAAGCATCTTGATTTTGGCTCTATGATACTGAGTGTGAAAAATCATCTTTCAAACTTTAACAGAATAAATTTCTGGCATTTTTAGTCATGAAGTTGGTGGTACACTGTTACAATGAAAGTAGTAAGGTAACAGGAAGCTATGGATTACAAACTTCTTTCCCCCAGAGTTTGGAGCTTAGACTAGACTGTTGTTAAAAATAGGAGAAGCATCCTCCTTGCATAACTATGTTAGAACCCAGATGTCCATATTACCACCTACCTCAATCAAAAATGACTAAACTGTGATTGTGTGGGCTCTTCATTGATGGAAAATAAAATCTCTGCCTTTAGATCAAAGGATTTTTTTAAATGTGCTAAGGAAAACAAAAAAATTAATCTTGGCCATTATGCTAAGGCAAGACTTAATATATATAATATAATATAAAGTATAAAGACTAGCTCTTGGAATTGCCATGATTTCATGACAAGATACTATTTCAAAAGATCCTTTGCACAAAAGTTATGAGCAGTATTGTATTCTTAAAAACTGTAAGACTAGATCTTGAGTGTTCTCATCAACATTGTAAGCATGTGAGGTAACACAAAAGTCAGTTGGCTCAATTTAGCTATTACCCAATGAATAAACACTTTATAACATCATATTGTACATGCTGAATTTGTACAAATTTTATGTAAATTCAAACAATGGAAAATAAATCTAACATTTGGAAAGACAGATTAGTGCTTGCAAAATAATTAATCAAAATTTTCATCTGTGTAAGCCATGTTTCTAAGAGAAGAAATGACTTTCCTAAAATTACACAGGTGATTTGGAAGTATATTCTACTTATAGGACTCCTCAATACAAAACCAACGTCATGTCTTTGTTAAATTACAAAATATAGCCCTGTTTATTTTTGCTTTTGTTGTCTATGCCTTGGTGTCATAACCTGAAAATATACATTGCCAAGGAGCTCTTTCCCTATTTTCTTTATGAGTTTTGTTATTTCATATCTTACATTTATGTTTTCATATATTTCAAGTTAACTTTGGTGTGAGATATAAGGTAAGGGACCAATTTTATTCTTTTTACATGCAGATATGCTGTTTCCACAGCACATTTATAAAGAATACTATTTCCCCATTTTGTATTTCTCTCCTTTTCTTAAAGATAAGGTGCATATATTTATTTCTGAGCTCTCAATTTCATTGCATTAGCATATGGGTCTGCTTTTATGCCAGTGGCATTCTATTTTGATTATGATATTTTATAATGTACCTTAAAGTCAGGACTATGATAGGTACCTCCACTTAGTACTTCTTCTCAGATTGACTTTGGTTGCACTATATCTTTTGTGGTTCTGAATAAATTTTAATATTTTTTATATTTTTTAAAAATACCATTACAAAAGCATGGATGAACCTGGATAACATTAGGCTAAATGTATCAAACCAAAAATACACAAATATTACATAATCTCCCTTAAATATGTAATATAAAAATGCTAAATTTGTATAAATACAGAGTAGACTTGTATTGCCAGGGACTAGGAATGAGGAAGTAGGGAGATATGGGGCAATGGATATAAAATTTAAGTTAACTGTTATAAAATTGCATGTAAACTAACCTCATTCAGAATGATGTTCTCCAATTCCATCCATTTACCAGCGAACGATAACATTTCATTCTTCTTTATGGCTGCATAAAATTCCATTGTGTATAGATACCACATTTTCTTAATCCATTCATCAGTGGTGGGGCATCTTGGCTGTTTCCATAACGTGGCTATTGTGAATAGTGCCGCAATAAACATGGGTGTGCAAGTGCCTCTGGAGTAACCTGTGTCACAGTCTTTTGGGTATATCCCCAAGAGTGGTATTGCTGGATCAAATGGTAGATCAATGTCTAGCTTTTTAAGTAGCCTCCAAATTTTTTTCCAGAATGGTTGTACTAGTTTACATTCCCACCAACAGTATAAAAGGGTTCCTTTTTCCCGCATCCTCACCAACACCTGTTGTTGGTGGTGTTGCTAATGATGCCTATTCTAACAGGGGTGAGGTGGAATCTTAGCATGGTTTTAATTTGCATTTCCTTTATTGCTAGAGATGGTGTTCTTATTTCAATTTAAAATTCTTAAGTGATTTTCTCCTTGTATTAATCAAGCTTTCCTATCACTGGACATGAAAGTGGTAACTGTCAACACCTTAACTAATAAATCTGATGAGCTTCTCAGCAGATTCCTAATGGAAGATTATTCTATTTGGAATATTTCCAATGCTCTGCTTGGTAATCTTGTCAGCGAACATGGCCATCTTTTTTTTTTTTTTTTTTTTTGTCTTTTTATTTATTTATTTTTATTTTTTACTATTAGTATTGTTATATTGGGGGTACATTGTGACATTTACAAAAGTTCTTACAATATATAATAGTTGAATTCACCCCCTCCACCATTCTTCTTTTTTTTTTCATTTTTCTTTTATTATTCATATGTGCATACAAGGCTTGGTTCATTTCTCCCCCCTGCCTCCACCCCCTCCCTTACCACCCACTCCGCCCCCTCCCTCTCCCCCCCCAATACCCAGCAGAAACTATTTTGCCCTTATTTCTAATTTTGTTGTAGAGAGAGTATAAGCAATAATACGAAGGAACAAGGGTTTTTGCTGGTTGAGATAAGGATAGCTATACAGGGCATTGACTCACATTGATTTCCTGTGTGTGGGTGTTACCTTCTAGGTTAATTCTTTTTGATCTAACCTTTACATGGCCATCTTTAACCAGATTGACTCCTGACTTCACAGACCTATGTTTTTTTTCATAGGAAGACTTGTTTTCTGAAATTTTCATATAAGCATCATGAAGCTTTAATTTTTTTAAATAATTATTTATTATAATTTATAGGGTGAAGTATGATAAATCAATACATACATGCAATGTGAAATGATCAAAATGAGGTAGTACACTTTCCCATCTCCTTAAACCTTTTACTAAATTTTGATTAATATGTAATAATTACACTAAATTAAGAACAGTGCCAGGTTTCAATACAAATATACAATGTGTACTGATCAAATCAAAGAAATTAACATTTTCCCCTCATCCTTCCTTTGTATTTGGGACCTTTGATCCTTTCTTCTAGTAATTCATAAAATACATAATAGAGTGTTGTGAGCTATAGTCACTCCTTGGTCTTGCACAATATTATAACATCGTTTCTATGTAATTGTGTTCTGATACCTATTAACCTCAAAGTATCCCCTGAACAACTCCCAGACTTTAGTAATCACAATTCTACATTTTACATTTTTAGCATCCACATATAAGATAGAACATGTGATACTTGTCTTACTCTCACATTTTTCATTTAACATAATGTCTTCTAGTTCTGGTATAACTAAGCATTCAACCCAAATATTCTGCCAAATTTATCTCAGAAAATAGCCACATTTCCTTGGCTGGATGGGAGGCTCAGTTTTTGTTTTCCTGTGTTGCAGCTTACACTAAGTGCTATCTGCTGGTAACCATGATATATGACTGCTATGTGGCCATTTGTAACTCATTGCTTTACTCAGCTGCTGTGTCCACTTCTCTCTGAACTGGATTTCTTTCTGACTCCTATATAGGAAATTATTGAATGTCATCACCTACATTGCTAACACTTTCCAGCTGAGTTTCAACTACTCTCTGGAGAAAGACCAAGTGGCCAGCCTGTTCTATGCTATCATCAACCCACTGCTCAATCCCCTCATCTAAAGTCTGAGAAACAAATGTCAAAGAGGCCCAAAAGACCAAAAATAGTATGTTCTCCCTCATATGTGGACATTAGATCAAGGGCAAACACAACAAGGGGATAGGACTTTGAGCACCTGATAAAAGCGAGAGCACACAAGGGAGGGTAAGGATAGGTAAGACAGCTAAAAAATTAGCTAGCATTTGTTGCCCTTAATGCAGAGAAGCTAAAGCAGATACCTTAAAAGCAACTGAGGCCAATAGGAAAAAGGGACCAGGAACTAGAGAAAAGGTTAGATCAAAAAGAATTAACCTAGAAGGTAACACACACGCACAGGAAATCAATGTGAGTCAACTCCCTGTATAGCTATCCTTATCTCAACTAGCAAAACCCCTTGTTCCTTCCTATTATTGCTTATACTCTCTCTACAACAAAATGAGAAATAAGGGAAAAATAGTTTCTTCTGGGTATTGAGGGGGTGGGGAGGAGAGGGAGGGGGCGGAGTGGGTGGTAAGGGAGGGGGTGGGGGCAAGGGGGAGAAATGACCCAAGCCTTGTATGCACATATGAATAATAAAACAATAAAAATAAATAAATAAATAAAAATAAAAACTCTTTGCTTAACCCCCCAAAAAATAAATAAATAAAGTCTTCTGTGAAAGAAAAAAAAAAAAAACTGTTTTATTGATAAAACCTCCAGTATAGAAATATATGGCCAAACAGAAGCACAATCTCCCTGACATAGCCTGAGAATAAAACAGTAGCTTTGAGATGGCTACATAGTGATAATAAGCCATGGCAGCCAGCAGAAAATATTCAGTATATCCCAGCACAGCAGAGAAGAACTGAACTATGCAGTCAACAAATAAGATACTTTTGTCATCAGAGATGCAAGTCATTAGGATCTTTGGGGTGTAGACAGAGGAATGCCAGAGATCCAGAAAAGACAGTTTTCCAATGAAGAAATACATGGGTGTTTGGAACTGGGAGTCCTTGCAGATCAACACTATGAATGTGGTATTTCCTAACAAGGTCACAGAATACACTCCAAAGAACATGACAAACAGGACCAGCTGCATCTCAGGATCTGTTGTGAATCCCAACAGGATGAACTCTGTCACTGTGTGGTTGCCCGTCTCATGGCTTAAAGATCTTGAACCTGCAAATAGAATGGAGTTTAATGCCTCTCCCAAAACCAAATGGGGGCATTCATTGTGCGAAGTCCCTGAAATGTAATAAATAATAAGCAGAAATCTTGTCTGTCTCAAGAAGTTGTTAGCAGTTTTCTGAGCCTTGATATACTTGTTTAAAATGATAAAGGGTGATTAATCATTTTCATTATTTCTTGAATCTTAAGTATTGATTTAGGCAAATGAAATTTAGCAGCAAGGATGATCAGAATATAATAACTATAATTATATGCAATATCTGAAATAAATTATTATCTACTTACATAATATTAAAGATATATAATAAATACTGTGCTTTATATAACTGTGTAGACCTTTTTCAATGCAAAAATGTACATCAAAACTCTCCACATAAGAGGTAGGACAAAGCCCTTTAGAAAGAACTTTCTCCTGAATGTAAGACATTTCCATTCTATTCTACTATGTGTTCAGTAGCAAGGAAGCCCCAACATTCACATCAGTAGGAACACAACCACCAAGCCACAAGTGTTACCCTCTGCACCTCCACCCCACAGCGTTGAATTTTACTTTATAACCCTTCCTATTATGATTTTTAAAATATGTGAGCTCCATCCACCTTTTCAGGGGTTCATTCAGGATTGGGGTCAAGCAAATTTAGGTACCACAAGACATAAATGGTAAGAAGACAGGAAACGTGGCCATTTTATTCATCAAACTATATCCTGTGTTTAGATACTACCTGGCATTTGTAGTTAAGTAAATTTAAATTTTTTAACGCATGAATAAATGGGCAGCTCTGATCAGAAGAGAAATAAGTCAATAGGATTGACTTTCTGGGTGAAATCTATGGCATTTAAAAATAAAACCATGATAGAATTATGTTTGAATTCTCACATGAATTTTGTGCAACCAGTCATCAATGATCATTATTATTCTTTGCAAGCAGGAACAAAAAGAAACAACCAGCTAGTTTTCTGAGATGCAGTGTTTATGAGAAGAAAATGTTTTTCCATGTCAGCAACAGATTGTTTCTCATTGTATATTGTGGTGGATGGAAAACGTGCATTATGGAACTATCAGAGCTGACTGCACAACCCAATGACAGCTGAAAAAGCATTTTGCTTCCTGAAAAATAACAAGAATTTAAGTTCACCAGCACTAGTCAACAATGTAGTTTCAATTTCCTTATGTGTAAGATGGGAATAACTTACTTTCATTAGGGTTGTTGTAGAAGACCAAATAAGGAATAAGCACAGCACATGGCATGATACAAACCTTCTAATAACAAATAGTTCTCAAATTCTTTGTACATAGGACCTGCTCCAGGGATTCTAACTTATCAGGTTATGGGTGGGGTTCAGGTTCCAGCTCTCATTAAGCTCAAGTGCTTACAATACAGGAAATCTGCACATCACATCTGCAAAATTCTGTAATAGATACTAGTTTTATTAGTAGGAGTATTTTTTATTGCTGGAGTCTTGTGTGCATTCCATTATTGTAAAGAATCAAGGAGTCAACAAATTTATAGACCTGTTGCCTGGTGTTGCACATTTTAAAGGTGAGCTATAAACAAATCTATGTCTCAGTTCTGTTACCAGCAATTTCTATAGCTATGACTTGGGGGACTTATTTGAATTATCCTAATTTATCTATTTAATGAGACAATAAAAGTTTCCTCATCTGATAACAGGAAATTTACAGGAAAATTGTGCAAAGTGCTTTGTACATGATCTGTCTTAGAAAATATCTGGCACGTACAAGTAACAATGTTACATGATTATAAATTAATGATATGATTTGCAAGGTAAAACATTGGAGTAAATAAATTCATACTTAATACCATGTCACCAATCCCTTGATAAGTTTTGTCTCTCCTATCAGTATTCGCTTTGCTTATCCATCATCATTGCCTTAGCACAATATTCATCTCAATGACTTAACCTTTATCTATCAGTGATCCCAGAGTGATGCTCCATCCATTTTACCCTATCATGCATTATGTCAAGTTGTCTGCTCAAGTTTATTATGTTAGAATAGATGATTAACGACGGATATTCTTATAAAAATTACATAATTCCTTTCTGTAGGAAAATGTGCTTATAATTGACATAGGGACCTACACACACACAAAAAATTAGATAGGATACACATTGTCTTGGTGTTTTCCACAAAACCCACTCACATACACTGCTAAAGAGAATAGCTTGGAGATCTGATGTCTATATTCATTAATGCAATACCTTGTGGTGTATGTATAACCTTCCAAATTAAGGTTATATGTTTGTGTAATTTAAAAATGTATTTTACATCCAAAATAACTGAAGAATATTTTTGTGTATTTAGAGATAAGGGTCTATTGCATGGAAACGTTCTCAAAAATATATGCATTTTCTTTTTTTTTTTCTTTTTTCTGTTTTTTGTTCAAGGAAGTTCCAATGGAGTATTTTTAATGCATTTTCTTAAAATAATATTCCAACTGAAAGAAAACTAAAGTATTACTCATATTTTCTTGCCCTGAAACTAATAATCTCTGCTACATCATTAGTCTTATGATCTTTTCAGGTACTATTTCTTTTGTTAGTATTTCTTGGTGACTACCTGGATTTTTGTTTGTTTGTTTTGTTTTGTTAGTGCACTTAATTCAACTTCCTTTATTTTTAGGAGATTTATTGTTGTATTTTTTTGTCTAATTGTGAGACATTCTACCTGTCTTTGTGAACTCTCAGTAGTTTAGTAAGTGCAATAAGAAAATGGTGACGTTTTTTGAGGGGTCCTTCTTGTTTCCTTGCTTAGTAATTACCACACCTTAGTATTTAAATATCTATTGCACTATTTGTGAGGACAAGTAAAATTTTCCATCTAGGAATATTACATCAGTTTGGCAACTTACCTAAATTTTCAGCCAACACCATCATCTCAACAGAATTCAAGCCTTCTTCTCCCAAAGTCTTTTATGGTCATTTCTAAGTCCCCAGAGTTTAGATTTCTACAACCCCTCAGGATTTCATAAATTGGGAAATTACTAACAAGCAATTAAATAAAACTGTATAATGAAAAATCAAGTTTTATTTAATAAGGTGTAGAAATACTTTACTATTATTCCTTGAGGAACATGTAATCATAATTGTCCTTCTCATTCTCCCTTAAATTGTTCAGTAGCTAAACTAAACATAATGTATATACATATTTTAAATATGCTAAAATATTCATATGTGTACATGCTCATAATAGGTATATATATATCATCAATAATTGTTGCTGTTATATGTTAGATGTCTTCCATCTGTACCTCCAAATCCATTCTATAGCCTCCTAACTTCTTTTTAGGCCAGGATGTATTTAATGCAGCAGTGAGCTCTTTTGTTCTCTGACTACTCAATGGGTTTGTGCAAATGGTTGTTAACGGCAGACAGAAGAGTGAGCGCAGAATATTCTCACAGGCTGTTGGCCTGTAGAGTTGACAAAGGTGGCTAATTTCCTGGACTTAGACCCTAGGTCTTGCCAAATGATGCTCTTTCAAGGCTGTCCTTCCAGTGCACAAAATAACTCCCTCTTCTTAGACCTTCAGATATAAATGTGGGAACAGATCTCATAAGTAATTAATCTTAGAGCTATGATAATTCCTTGAGAATTACCTAAAAATGTACACATCTTTATAGTAAACTCTTTATTAAGCCCTCCTCAAATTAAATTAACCTATTTAAAGGGCTATATGTCATCTCCCAAGTAAATGACTAATAGGGTCTTAAAATTAAGCAAACATTCAAATGAGATTGGGTTATTCACATTTTTGAATATGAGATAAATCAGAATGTAGCAGAAAGAAATGGTACATGGTATCAAAATTAAATCATGACAAGTAGCATCCTGGTTTACAATTGGATAGTGAGCACAGTGTGGCTAGAGGCATGCATCAGGTGATAGAATTGCCATGTGATGTCTTAACTTCTGAAATTTAAATTTGTAACTAACTAAGTAAATAGAAAAAAAAAAACCTACAAAACTAGAGCCAGAATGCATAAATCAAAAAGTATCTCATCTCTTATGGTCTTTAGAACATTTAGTTGAGCTGAAAACCAATGTCATAGAATGATTGCAAGTATTTTAGCACAAGTAAGTGACTAGTTTTTATTGGTATTTAATGGAAAGATAAGAATACTGATTGGGAAGGAGAAAAATCCTGAGACAAAAGAAGGGACAGTTGGTAGAAAAAGAAAAGAATTTATGGCCTCAAATCCTCCTGAACCACTTTTCCAAAACAATTCTTCCCTTCATTTGGGAATTTTTTTTAATTCTGTGAATGATCATCTTTCTTGACTTCACCATGGAGGTTTGCCTACAAACTGGTGCAACTATCCTTAGTGGTCAGTCCCTTACCTCACGTTACTTCTGGGTTCCTAGTGAGTTTTTAAAGTCAACATGGCCCAAATACTAAGATAACTAATTTATCTAACAATAGTTAGAGAACCTCACCAATCCATGTTTAGGAAGTATCTGAGAAACATGCATAGGAATTAATTCCTGAACATAAGACAAAGGAGAATCAAATACTGTTTCACTCAACAAAATTTATTAACCAAGACACAATCATGAAGGATCTGTGATTTACCTCACAGAACTCCTGAAGGAATGGAGAACATTCTCTAGGCTAATTAACTAGACATTGCATAAATAGGCTACAGTCATTAAGATCACAATGTCAGACCAACTATCTTTGATTAAAGAAGTCTGAAGATACAGGAAGATAAAGATGTTGTAAAGGACACTCTATATATAATATGCTCTTCCACTGCATAAACGTCTCCCTCCTGAACTTTCATAATTCAAGAACCATCATTTTGCTAAAGCACTATGAAATGCACTCATAGGCACTTCTGGCTCATTTCTGTAATCCTAGATTCTTGGGAGGCTGAGAGTAGGAGGATCTCAGTTAAAGAGCAACCAAGGCAAAAAATATTCATAAGACCCCATCTCAACTAAAAACTATCATCAGTAGACAAAGACTGATGGTAAAAAAAGCTACAGCAGAATTAGATTCCTAGCATAAAGGAAACCAGAAAGCATTGCATAACTGTGAGAGAAAAGGTGGAAGTCATTACCATACAGCCACAAATATACATGGTAATAAATCATTTCATTGTATAGAAATAACTGGCACCGTCTCTTGAATTAGGAGGCTCTGCATTAAACAACTACACGAGGAATCAACCAAGGCACTGTCTTTTTCTTGTAAAGAAGAAGCACTTTGTATTTGGATGAAAACTACTTCAAGTTGTCTACACGAGGAAATAAAGACTCTGAGGTAAATTTTCTCAATTAAACTAGTTTATAGTCAGTGTACCAGAGACTGAAAAGGCAAGATTTCTTTGAGGAGGGACTTGAATGGTAGCCAGTATATATTTGGATCACAAGACTTCTTAGATGGCTTGCAATCATATCACAGTAATCTCATAGTAGAAAAAGAAACCCAGATCATTTAAGTTTTAATTGACGCTATCTTAGAACTGACATCAATCACTCAAAATGGAAAAACCTCATTAAGGTACATACTCAGCACAGGAGCTATTGGAAAGAGCATGAAAGATAGTTTCAGCCTTAGTGAATCTCTCACTGGGTCCAGTAGTTCCAAGTACACTTATAATCATTATGTCCCCAAACTCAGAAATCACACTGTACACAAATATATAGACTAACATAGAATCTTCTTAATCCAACCTTGAGAATAAGAATTATCAATATTGGAAGGTTCAAGTGGAATGAAAGATAATGTTGTCAATCCCCTGCCAGCTACTATAGATATTTTGTCAAAGGTCCACTTGACCTTGAACTAGAGTGTTAGGTTGATCACTTCATCAACCTAATTAGTGAGGACCTTCCAATGAATGAATTTTAAACAAAATTGTACACCTGTGAAAATAGGGTTTAGGACAATTTTCAAAATAAGGGGTATTAATGGCAGAATCAGTGTTGTCAAAACTCAGTGTGAGGATGCAATTGGAGGACATCATTTAAGTGAAGTAAGTCAGGTTCAGAAAGATAAAGATTGCATGTTTTCTCTCATGTATGAAAGATAGATCCAAAAGATAAACATACACACAAAACTAACACGATCATGTACAAATGTATATGTAGAACATATTTATAATAGTGGAACTACTCTATGGAACCCAGGGAAGTACAGAAAGGAAAAGGGAATGAAAGAGCACCAACCTTATCATAATACATAACATCTGTGAAAGTAGAGGACATAAAGATGTGTATTGAAAGCTATTGAAAAATGGGGGAGTGGGAGGAAACAGGTAAGTAGAGTAATGGAAAGGGTTGAATTGGCCAAAGTAAAGTATATTCACAGCAGGTATACATTGAAATACCCCTTTGAATATCAACTTAGAAATTACCAATGAAAGACAGGACTATAAAATAGGTAAAGTAGTGGGAAGGTACTTGTGGGAGGAAGGAGGTTGAATGAAGAGATTAAGGTGAGGAAATGTGGTCAATGTTTATACTAAGTAGAACAATGAAACCTCTTACAGCTGCTTTAAGTAGGAACAGAGGGGGAGAAATGGTGGGGGTGATCTAACCAATGTACAATGTAAGCCTATTTGGAATTGTCACACTGAATTCTGCCCTCCACAACAAATATACACTAATAAAAAAAAAACTCATTGTGATGCATACAATATGTATCTTAGATGCTTTACCACATGGCTCTCTAACCTTTTTACATACCTAAATGGATTCTCTACCTGTACAGGAGTGGAAGTTCTTAATGTGAGTCCATTGATCACCAGAGAAAACAAAGATGGGGTTTAAAGAGTCAAAGAGAATTTCCCTGAGAATGTTTGTATGCTAGTCTGTTCAAGAGCACCTGTTAGATTCTCATTAAGGTCCATGACTGAGAGTTCTTGTTACAGGCTTCAGATTTGCAAACCCAAAATAAAAGTCTTCTAGAATGATGATGTGAGCACTCACTTGCAGTTGATTCAAGAAATATAACAACAAATGATAAACTAAATTGAATTTCCTTTAGAACGCATTAAAATTCTAGACGCCTAGAACTCATGATGTTTAATAGTTTTCATTGAAAAACTGCAACCATTTTTGATTTTATCATTTTGATCAATAGAAGAGTAAGCCTACATGAAACAGCATGAACATATTCCCAGGAGGAGGGGAGAAGTAAGGATATATTGGTATTTAATTGTTAACAACATGCTAAAAGCAGAGGACAAGTTGTCAGTGAAGAATCACTTGGTTTTCATATTAATTAATGTAAAATAACAGCAAAATGATTATGGCTCATATACATGAAAAAGAACAACAATGATGCAATCAGACATTAGTAGCATATAGTTTAGTCCATTCACTTATTTTAAAGGTGAGAAAAATACATGTCTTCCCTTTTGCTCTCAAGGAGCTTATGTCCTACTGAATGGCTTAGACAGCTACATGTTCACCTAATCATCTGCTGTTCTTGGCACACAGGAAGTCTACATTTTCCAGAATGCCTTCCAGTCAAATGATGCTCATGTAGCTATATTTTGGCCAAGGGGATTGGACAAATATTACAGACAGAATTGATGACAAAGCTGCCAAGGAACTTAAACTATAATTAATCTCACTTATCTGACAAAAACAGTACTGGTCACTGATTTAAAACACCAAGCAAACATACACTGAAATCCCAATAAACAAACAGGTATTGTAATTATTAAAAATCAAACAAAAATGTATGATTTGCAAGTATTCTTTCTCAGTCTGCAGGTTGATTCTTATTCAAATAAATTTTTCAAAAATGATCACTATAGGAATTATTGGCATCAGTATTCAATGTAGAAATGTTTATACTTCATTAATTTAAAGGAATAATATTATGCAGCTCATCTTTAAATATTTTAAGTCCTTAGTCCTTGAATCTTCACAACATCATAACACTGTTAGTGGTCCTATAATTAACAGTAGTAATGATAATAATACAACTGATATTTATTTCAACATTTCCTAGACATGACCTACACACAACCCAAATTACAAGTACTTGGGCTGCTCTACAGAAAGTAGGTTCCAAGAGAACCACTCACAACCTCAGAAACAATGAGATGGGCCAAGTGACTCTTTTTTGTCCTTTTTATTTTATTAATGTATACCAATTGTGTAAGGGATTTCATTGTGATATTTCCACACATGCATATGATGTACTTTGGTTGTGTTGATCCCTTGTATTACTCTTTATTATCTCTCCCACAACTCCTATTATACAATATTATTGGGTTTTCATCTATGCATGTAATGTATTTCTATCATTTTCGCCTCCCCCCATCAGGGCCAGGTGATTCTTATGTACACTGAATTTGAAAAATCCTCATTATTTGATGTGCTTAAATGTTACTTGTGTTAACTCTTTTGCAATAATCCAGCAATGAGATTAAAGTGTCCCTGCCTTAAATATGTAAATATATAAAAAAAGAAGTTACACCTTGTTCAATAGGGATAGAGAACGCTACTCTTTTTTAATTGCCTTCAAGGTGTATACTTTTTCCATATTGCCCCTCTATTATGGATTCAGGAGTTAGCCCTAATACCTAACCTGTTCATCATGATATATAATGACAATCTGTTCCTAACATACAGAACACTTTTTTTCTTTCTTCTTAGCCCATTTCATTCCCAAAACTGTAGTTGGAATACAGTATAGACAAATTTATTTTTTCCTATGTCTATCAGTAAAACACAATTGGCCAGAAATTATTGTCAAAAACTGTGGAATAGCAAATAATTCTATGGTGGTCTCAGGATAAAACAGCTTCATTGGCGACCAGGTGAAATCAATTCCTCTGACTTCTTTCTCTATCAAATCAAGTTTGATCAATGGTTCATTTATTCAATCTTTAAGCAACTACTTACTTGTGTCTACTATATGACATGGATATAAGCTAATGAGCAAAACAGGCAAAAACTACAGACATCTCATGGAATTTACATTATTGTGGACTCTTAACACTGACCCAAATAACTCAGTGTGCCCCTAAAACAGCCAGCAGAACATTGTCAGCACAGGTAATTTGACCTCTTAAGAATATTATCCTATTATTTTCTTTTTCTCCACACAATTCCTAGAAGAAATCTTGGAAGATTCAAAAACTAAAATGTAAAATTTTGGAGTGCCATTCTTAGCAGATGGAAAATCTTTTAAGAAACTTAAAAAAATTTATGTGGTTGAATTTTTGATAATCCGAAAGATAGAGCCCTGATGGCTACTTGGTATGTTGGAGATAAGGATAAAATGTTCTACACTAAGGAGAGTCTTCTCCAAAGAAAACTGTTCTACCATCTATAACCAGGGTCTTGATGGACAAACATACATTGAAAAAGATCTTTATAATGATATAAACTTGAAATCTTTTCTGCTTTAAAATGTGCCAATCAGCTTTCCAGTCTTATGAAAAATGCCTGAGATAATCAATCACGTTACAAAGAGAAAAGGGTTATTTGTGCTTACTGTTTTACAGATTCCAGTTCACAGCCAGGTGCTCTGTGGCGTTGGGCCAGTGGAAACATCATGGTGGATGATCCTGGCCGAGCATCACTACTCACCTCCTGACTGAGGCCCACAATCCTCTTCTAGATCACACCCCACTGACCCAAAGATCTCCCACGAGTCCCGTCTCTTCAAGTTTCCACCACCTTCCACTAGCATCAAGCCAGGAAGAGAGTCTTAACACATGGATCTTTGAGGAATATTTAGTATTCAAATTACAGCAATAAGTAAACACAAATCATATTTTACAAATTCAAGAATACAGCTAACAGAATAAGGGCAGCATCATATTTTGTTTGATATGACCACATAGAATAATTAATTAACTTCTTTCTTGACATTTGACCCTGATTGTTCATCTGATTCTCCCCCTAGAATTTATATCAAATATGACAAAGGCTCCAGCAGTAACCAAGGGTGATATAAAAATTATGCAAGGAGTTAGAAAAACTGATGGCTGAGAATGATAGCTTGGATATTTATAAGGAGTCACAACAGAATGACTTGTGACAAATAACAGGGCCTTGGGCACCTGCACCCCCTGTAGCCCATAAAAAATAACAACCCCCATCTGACCACCTGAGGCCATTACCCTGCCCATCATGTGGGAGAAGTTGATGACATTTAACCAAGTCCCTGGAAATTAATGACACCTAACCCAATTATCCAGGAGTGACTATACATGAGATTCCAATAAAAGCATAAGATCTTGAGCCCTCACCCCAGGGCCCTTTCTGAGTCTGCCCACTCTCTGTCTGAGAGTGCATGTTTGCTCTGCTTTTGACTTGATTTGCACTAATAAACCTGCTCCAGCATAAATCTCCTCTGTGTTCATCCTTGAATTCTTTCTTCAATGAGACCAAGAACTATCTGGCCCCTGGAGCCAGTGACCCAAATCCAGCAACAAGTTTCTCACTGATTGTGGAAAACATGCTTCTATTCACCTTCTAGACAGGTCTGCAGGGACTTTCTCTCTTACCATGGTCCCTGAATGACTTGTCCACTTCTAGATGGGAAGTGGGAATAGAGTTTTTCTCTGAGTGTTTATTTCCATTTAACTTTTTTATCCCAGTTTAGCTGGGCAGATGGGTGCACAGCTATAATCATATCACCTGGCTGAGTCGGGATGATTGTGAGCTTAAGGCCAGCCAGGGCTACGTTTCAAGACTGTTAGACACAAAATAAAATTACTTACAATTTTAAAATTTCCTGCCTTATATTTATATATCAAACACAGAGTGATGTAATACATGTTATACATTGTGGAATAAATTAGGCTACTTTTCTACCTGTCACCACACATATACTTATCATTTCTTTGTAATAAGAATATTTAAAATCTACTTTTTGAGCAATTTGAAAATATATAATACATCGCCATAAACTTTAGTCACCTTGCTGTATTATGTATTATAATACTTTATCTATTCTTAGGTTAATGTAGAAGGTGAAAGATATAAACAAATATATTCCATATGCTTAATTATAGATTTAGAAAGATAATTGGTGAGGACACATTACAAAAATATATATTTCTATATATATTTCTAACCATTTATAATTTCATATCTTTCTTATCCAATAAAGTTTGCAAACTTCTAAGTCAACTTTAATAAAAGGAAGACCATTCAGTACCTATATTCTCCTTCTAATACCTACAAACAAAACCAAGAAGATGAATTTTATGAAAAATATAGTACTGCAATGAAGCAAAATACCATAATGTACAGTTTTAAACAACACAATATGATAGGCTTTTTAAAAGTTACATGAATAAAAAAGAAATTTAATGAAAAAGTATCTGGTTCAATATTTCATTATTACAAGTTCAATGTGCCAAAACTAGTTGACATACACAAATGCATACAAGCCTATCTACAAATTAATCATTTATAACTAACAAACCATAAATGAAAAACTTCACACTTGTGTTCTTATGGTCTGTGTTACTTTCCTGAAGGACTCTTTGACATCTTTGTTTCTCAGGCTGTAAATGAGGGGGTTTAGCAATGGGTTGATGATGGTGTAGAAGAGGGCAGCCACTTTGTCTCTCTCTAGGGAGTAGTTGGAACTGGGCCTTGAATACATGAAGAGCAAGGATCCATAGAAGAGTGTGACAGAGACTAGGTGGGAAGCACAGGTGGAGAAAGCCTTGTGCCTTCCTGAGGCTGAGCGGATCTTCAGGATAGCCAGGAGGATATTGAAATAGGAAATGAGGATGGCAAGGATGCTGGAAAGGATGCTGAAGCCCACCATACTGGAAAGAATTTTCACATAGACCTCGGTGTCTGTGCAGGACATTTTTACTAATGGCAGTACATCACAGAAAAAGTGGTCAATGATATTTTTACCACAGAAACTCAGTCGGAAAGTATTGATAGTATGGGCTATGGCATTCAAAAATCCTCCTACATAGGAACCAAGAACAAGTCCTGTACTGAGAGAAGTGGACATGGTACCTGAATAAAGCAATGGTTTACAAATGGCAGCATAGCGGTCATATGCCATCATTACAAGCAGATAGCACTCAGTGTAGGCTACAAGAGCAGAAAAGAAAAACTGAGCCCCACATCCAGACAAGGAAATGCGCTTATCTTCTGAGATACAAATTGCTAATATTTTAGGAGTATATACAGAGGTATACCAGAAATCCAAAAAAGACAGATTACCAATGAAAAAATACATAGGTGTATGCAGCCGGGAATCAATCCAGATTAAGATAACCAGGGTCATGTTCCCTGACAAGGTTACCAAGTAGAGAATTAGAAATATTCCAAATAGAATCAGCTGCCACTGAGGATCTACAGAGAAGCCCACCAGGATGAATTCAGTCAGAATGGTGCGATTTCCCACTTCCATGTCCACAAAGGGGAAGACCTGATTGTCATGAGAGGGAAATAAATCAGTGATATTTTCTACTAAGAAAAATAGTGAATTAATTCAGTAATATCTTTAAAAGTTTATAGATTTTTTTCCTTTACTTTCTATAATTGTAGGACTTCATTTTGTGACTTTGAAATTCTAGTAGAATTGGAATAAGAATTTAATTTTAAGATTAAAGCTATCATTTATTAACCAGTTAATGAAAGACTAGTTACTCATCAAATACATAACGAGTAGCTACCTTCTGGAAATATTATCTAATCAAGTAAAAATACACATGAAAACATACAGCCTAATGTTTAGTATACTTGTGTATCCAAAAAAATCAGTATCCTATCATAATTAAAAAGAGTTTCTAGTGTGTTTGGCATTACGATATTTGTATAAATACCAGTATGCTGTACTTTTCCTATGCTACTCAACATACAAATTGAGAAAACGGTGTGTATTTCTGTGTCCCAATTACTACTCTAAGCCCTGTATTTAACCATTTCATTTTCTACCTTTCTAAACTAGATGCATGATGATCTTGTTACAATTGATAAAACTTGAACATAGAGTTTAAGCAGCACTCAGTGGTCACAATTCAGAGCATGGCTTTCAAATGAGTCCAGAACTTTTTTAAATGAGAGTACTTACTCCCAGTGATTAAGCCATGTACCACTCTTTGATGTGAACAATTGGTATAGACCACTTTCTTGTAGCTAAGACAATGCTACTGCTTTCCAAATAGATTAATATATTTACCAATTGAAAAGAGGTTCTAAAAATATTTTCTTACTTGTTCTTTTTATCCACTTTCCTCTAGGTGACTAAGTTACATGAGGATTACATACATGATTAAGGCTTTGATTGTGCATGTCTGTGTTACTGGGAATTGAACTCAGGGCCTTGCACTTGCTGGTTAAGTGCTATACCACTTGAGCAATGCACCAGTCTTATTTTGATTTTGTTAATTGAGATAGGGTCTCTCTAACTTTGCTTGAGCTGCTCAGTAACTTGAGATCCTCTTGCTTTTCTCCTAGTAGCTGGTATTTCAGGGGATGCTGATTGAAGCATTTTTTTGATAGCGTGGATGCTAAATATTTAAAGAATATAAGTTTTAATTTTAAGGCATTGAGATATAATGATCTTTCAAGTTCATATCCCAAAAACTACAAATATCTCAGAGGAAAGCTAAAAGAAAGTATTTAATTAAATATACATAAACTTTTAAAACTACATGAATTTTTAATAAATAAACTTTGTAAAATTACCCTGTTTCGATTTGACCATTTAAATCCCTCCCTAGTTATTAACGTAGAGGGAGACATTTAAAAGCCAAGATAGAATTATTACTGATTTAGGTGCTATGATCATTTGAATTTGATATAAGCCTAAATAAGTGCTGTAACTAAAATGCAAACCCAAGACCTCTACTTCTAGGTCTAGTATCCTTGTTTGATGGGAAGTCAGACTTAGGTGATGTCTTTCAAATGTAGATAACAATATCAAAAGAAGACATAATATAATTTCTGACACTATAGTTAAAGCAATTTAGAATCCTGAAGCCTCTTCCATTGTTTATTATTACTTACTCAAGTTGGAGTAAAATTGTCTTGGCAGTAATTTATGGTTATTATATTATTATAATATGAATATATATAAAATGTTGGATTATATCCATACTCACCATAGTTATTATGAACTCTTCTATGTTATAATCTCTACATATAAAGAAACAAATTTGAGGATTTCAAGATTTTTTTCTGATATAAGTTGGATAAAATGGGTATATATGAATAGAACAAACTACTGCAATTTTTATGCTGATTCACAAAAAAGGCAAATGATGTATAAAATGTCAAGGGCATTATCCAAAGACTTCCAAAAAGAAAACTATTGAAATGATACCTGAAAACTAATAACCATTTAAAAATATTTAAGGTAAGCAGAGAGGGTAGAACAACACTGCCATAAGAAAAGTACGTGTAGCACTTTCACACAGAGAAAACCTGGCTTCAAGTTAGAGAATGAATGATGAAAAGAGCAGTTATCCACTCTTAACTGGAAACTATGAAATTCTCAGTCTTCTGTCACCTGTTGAGACCAATCTAGTGATAAAGACTTAAAGAGAGCCTTTAAACATTCTATATAGAATACCAAGTATTGCATAAAATGAAACCTTGTCTTAGAAGATAGGACTTGAGACTTAATCTCAACCTTTTTTCTAAAAAGGAATTTATTTTTGAATAGCACCCTATCCTCAAAGTTCCATGGAAGTCTAAAGAAAACATCTTTTGCATTTGATATTTAAGAGTTCCCTGACTTTACTTTTACACAAAAACTCTCTGTTCTTAGAAAGGTTGGTTAAATAGACTTGATGAAAGCTTCAGAACATAACTTTAAAAGCCTAATCCTATTGTCATTCTTATGGCTTCTGTGTGTATAAAAAAATACATCTCATTATATTTCAGTACTAAAGTTCTTAATTTTAAAATAAGGAGAAAAATTAATCCTGAAAGCAATCATTGATATGTTAGAGGGCAGAAAATTGTTTGCAATTCTTTATGGATTTCTATTCTTTTAAGAATAGATTCTGTTGTCTCAGCCCTTAAGATATGGATACCTTGTGGTCCTTTTTCAAATAGATTGGGGCAGAGACGGCCCCAAGGGCATTGCAAGCTTGAACCTCAGTAAGGTTTTCATTCTTCATCCCTCACTTTTGGAATCCTACCAACATCAAGTAAATAGGCCTGGGCAAGCTTTCTGGATAATGAGACATCCCACTATGTTCTCTCTGTTGCTCAACAGAAAGAGTGGGGCCATTTAACATGTTCCAATCCCATTTAAGCTAAGAGCTACCGCAGACATGCAAATGAGCTGATCTGAATGCAGACAGGTCTGGCACAGAAGGATCTCATAATGGAATGTTGGGTTCAAATCTTGATTCTATTACATGGTAGCTTTGTAATTTTGGGAAAGTCTCTTAAAAATCCTTTATCCTACAGTCTTCACCTCTCTGAAAATGCAAGGACATGTCAGTGTTGTATAGGTAAAATACATAAGCTGAAGAGAAAATATACATAACCCATAACTGTTTTTATTCCAAAAGAAAGGAATAATACCTGACTAATTTTTTTAAATTGATATTCTTGGGAAAAAATAAGGCCCAGTTCCCCAAAAAGACAATTTAAGTCAATTAGTGATATCATTCAGAATCTTATTAATATTTAATGTATTTACCATTTTTTTCTTGATGAGAATATTTAAAAATTTTTCTTTTACTGTATTAAAAGTGTGGAATGCAGTATAATTATCTACAACCAGGATGCAAGGCATCAGATCCTTAGTTTGCATTCATCTCTGTGTGTATGGGTTTGTAGGAATTGAACCCACAGCCTCGCCTTGCACATGCTTGACAAGTGCGCTGCCACTAAGCTACACCACTCGCTGTGCTGATTTGTCTTCAGCTGAGAGTTTGCGCCACACAAAGTTATAGAAACCAATCACTGCTTCCCACATACCACATCCTAGCCTTTGACTATCATCATTCTACACTCCATTTCTGTGTCACATGCAGGATTTTCCTGTCTTTTTCTGACCTATTTATAAATTCCACATGTAAGTGAAATCTCATGGTTTTTCTCATTTTTTGTCTGGACTATTTCAGTGAGATAATGTTCTCCATGTTTATCATATGAAATTGGCATTTAGACAGAAATAGAAAAAAAACCTCAAATTCATTCAGAACCACAAAAAGCAGTGTAGAATTATCAGGAAAAAAAGAGACACATAGACATATGCAATAAAATTCAGGGCCCAGAAATGAATCCATGCTACTATTCCTTGACATGACCTGCAAAAATACAGTGTGGAAAGCAGACTATCCTCAGTATATGAATTTGGAAAAACTGTATATCCACATGCAAAAGAATGAAATTAGACTTCTATCTCACAAGAATCAGAAAAATTAACTTGAAATGGTTTAAAGACATACATATAAGACCTGTAACTCAAAAACCCCTAGAAAAACAGGGGGGAAACTGTGATATTTGTATTAATAATGATTTTTTGGCTGTGACACTAAAAGTGTAGTCAACAGATTATAGGTGCAAAAATTAACAGATGTGATGACATCATCTCCTCTTACAATTTGACAGAGAATAGACAGAACTACAAAAGCCATTGGCCTTGGATTGTCCTGTAAATATAATACAGCCCCAGTGCTTAACACCTGTGTGATTTTAAGGTATTCATCTCTACTTCAAAAAACATAATTCAGGGGCACCCTCTCTTGGGACCCCCATCCAATTCTGAGGCCTTTTCTCTCCTACTTTACACTTTTCTGTATCAATAGACTCTTTCACTTTAGGCTTTTTAAAAAAGAAACATAATTCACATATGTATGAATAATTTTAATTCTGGGCTGGAGGTGTACCTCAGTGGTGGAATGTGTATCTGGCATGTAAAATGCTCTTGGCTCAATCTGCAACATCACCAAAAAAAGTTAATAAATTTTGCATAATGAAAGTTGTAGGCCTACAATAATCTATTTTCTAACACTCCTTACACTCACCTTTCCTTAATTCTGCCCAGCCTTGCTTAATATTCCAGATTCACAGACATTCCACCCCTGCCCCAGCATTCAAAACAATTGACTTTCTGTGTCTTCTGCTTGAAAATTTATTCTTCAGATATTTCTGTGGTTTACCCCCTCATCTACTTTAATTACCTTAAATGTCATTTTCAGACCAAAACCTATTTTAAGAATGATGAGCAATTTACATATCATCTTTACTTCCTTTAACTAACAATCCCCATAGTTTTTATGTATTCAGACTGCTCAATTCCCAATTTCTCACATACCTACTATCACCTTCTAACTCTTCTTTATTGGGTCTTTCTCTGAGCAAGATTATAATATCCCTAGAAAAGAAAGAGTACTATATTTGTTTCCTGCAATGACCCAGGACATTGAACAGTTCCTAGTAATTATGGGGCCTTAAATGAATATTTCAAGATTTAATAAG